GATGCACAGAGCACATCCCATCTCCTCCCCTGCTGGAAGCTCCCAGGTGCTCCAGGCTGCTCTCACTGCTGGTGGTGTTCTCCTGGAGGTGGAATCTCTGCTTCTCTCAGAGGTGCCAAAGCCTGAGCTGAGCTTTCCCAGTTTGCTTATGAGGAAGCTGGCTCTTGGCTTCGTGCTTTACTCACTGTTCCCATTCACAGGAGCAGTCAGGAAGCTTGGCAGCGTGTCCACAACAACCAGGTTACTCCCTGCAGGACCCAAAAGCACTCTCAGACCTTTCCCATGCCTGGAGTTGATGTTTCGATGGACAATGTTGTTTATTCCAGGCATGGGTTTCTTTGGGGTTGGGTTTCTCAATGGATTTATAGTACTGAGAATCCCTGGACCAGCTTCCAGGCGGGTCAGTTGTGTGTGCCCATCCTTCCCAGGGGATGATCCCGCTGGGAACACGTGGGATTGACCAATCTCCTCAGTCTTGGCTGGCCATGAATGGCTCCCATCTGGTGGTTTGCAGTGCTGGAGGCTGGATGAGCATCCTGGCATAAGGGAGGATGCAAGGGAATAGCAGTGAGGGTGGAGAAAGGCTTGGGGCATCCCTATGCTTATCCAGTTGTTGGAGAGAAACCCTCCAATAGCAGCATCCTTCCACCTGCACGTGGGAATTCCCTTGGGGAATTCTGTGTACAACTGCACGAGCGCTCGGGGCAGCAAACACTGCCTCTTGCTGCAACACCTCCCTTGCATTCGGGCTCTCACGCTCTTGGCTTCGACATCTGTGTCGCAGATGTGATGCCCAGATGGGCCTGGAGCCCTCCGCTTGCTCCCCCTTCCCAGGGGCCGGGCCTTGGGGAGATGCTCAAGCAGCCCCGCTCCGTGGCAATGGGTTTTCTGGGTCCTTGCCAAGGGTTTGTCCCGTTTCCCTGTTGCTTTTGCTGGTTCCTTTTGGCTGGGTTCCTAATGAGAAGGAGTTAACCTGCGGCGACCTTCCCATGTACAGCAACCATGCAGGGATCTGCCCCAGGTCAGGGGAACCGGTGTAACTTCCTCCCCTTTGGCTCTCAAATAGGAGAGGCCCTTAAAAACACAGCAGTAAATGTATTTACTCTTAATCTCAGCCACTGGAGACTCGTGTGTACTCAAGGATTTCCTGGGAAACCCTCTAAAGCCCCTACGGCTCAGGCAGCGCTTCCCTGATCCCTCTACAAGCTAATAAGGGATTAGGGGGCATTCAGGGGAAGCTGCTGGGTGGGGAAGGGTGACCCCGGGGTGGTGGTGGGTGCTCCTTCCTTGCGGATGCTCCCCAGCCAGGGGCATGGATGCTGGATGGACGCTGCTGTTGTTTGTGCCAAGGGCTCCACGCACGACTGCTTTGAGGGTAGGAAACGGAAGGGCTGGGGAATGTTCTGGGTTTGGATTTCCAGGGAAGCTGGTGCAAAGCTGGGTTTAGGAAATACATGGAATCCTGGAATGGTTTGGGTTGAAGGGACCTTAAAGCTCATCCAGTTCCAACCCTCTGCCACGGGCAGGGACACCTTCCACTAGAGCAGGTCCCTTACCCACACTCATTCATTCCCTTGCATGGGACACAGGATCGCATCCCCATCAGCAGCTCTGTGATGGGCTCATTCCTAACTCAGGAGCCTCCTTCTAGTTAGGGCAGGTTACACCAGGTCCCCACGTGTGTGCTGCCGGTTCACCTTCCCTTCGGGGGCTGAAACCTGTTGGTGTGACAGAACCTCCACCAGGGCCAGTTTCAGGGCAGGGATGGATGAAGAGCCAGGATCCTGCTCCACCTCCTCCTCCAGCCACCGACAGCATCCCTTTGGCTTGCTCAGAGAGCCTGAATTGTGAGGACTGTGCCCATCAGCAACAGCCTGGCTCGGATCTGAGCTGCCACCTCAGCCCTGGTCCCCAGCCTGCCTCCTGCCAGCTAAATGTGCTTTCTTCCTTGCATTGACCTGGCAGCTTCACCCCAGATGAGCAGCAGTGATCAAAGTGCACATTTCTGACACTATCGAGCAGCTAAAAGGGCATTTTCCTGGTTAAAGCCCCAGATTTGGCTCTTACTGGCTCTATTTTAAATCAGTTCGGGATTCTAGAGGTAAAACCAAGTGACTTTGTGACAGCTTTGCCAGGGTGACCCAAGCCTCCGGCAGCCGGCGGCTCTGGATGATGCTGTGGCCAGAGGGATGGTCCCTTGAGTCCCCCCAGCTCCTCATCCCCTCCAGGAGGCTTTTCTTTGCCTGGGCTCCACCATCAGCACTGCAAACCCCGGAGCATCCCATGGGAAGGGCAGTACATTAAAGCATACATCACCCATGGATTTTAATGCTGCCTTTTACTCGGAGGCAGAGACAGCCCCTTGGGAAGATGCTGTCACACCAGAAGTGGGGCAATGCCCCACAGCACCTCCGGGATCCCCCAGGACACAGATCTCCACGCTGGGAGCCAGTGACCCCCTGGAAAAGCGAGATCCAGGGAGGAGCATGGCCTGACCAAGCACTGAGGGTACATGGGCTGTAACACAAAGGAAATCATTGAAGACAAGCCCTTCGTTGAAATACAAACGAAGCCTTCCCAATGCAGAGCCTAAAAAGCAGATTTCATCCCCCCAGAAGTCAGTTTTCCACTAAACTGAGTTTTCCAAAAGAGATGGAGGGGAAGACTTAGGAAAAGGATGCTTTTCACTGAGAACACCTAATACCTAACCCCAGCATTCCCATGCAGCAACGTCGAAGCTCGGCCTCCAGCACCCCTCCTGTGAATTAATGGGATGCAAAGCACAGTTTGATCAGTTATGACATTAAGTACACCAGCAGACATCGCTTCCCCTTATCCAGCTTTCCCCTTATTTTCCTATTTGCATTAGGATGACATTATTAACTCGCTGTCTGGAGCCGGAATCCGTGGAGCAGCTGGTAAATCCCAGGCGGACAGACCCTTTAACAGCATCAGTTAATGCACAATCACTTTAATTCCAAGCAACCAGTCGACTGATTCCCTTTGCCCAGTAGATTTGATGGGGTTTGTCAAAATCCATTAGGCTTTCAAGAGGACAAAACACACTTTGGTTACACGGGGTAGTTTCTGACCAAGAAATCAAGAGGTTTTGGTTAAAATTAAGTTGAATGCAGCGAGGATGCAGGAGATGCTGCAGCAAGGGATGGTGCAAGAGCAGGGGTGAGTTATGCCTGAGCCCATGGCAAATGGACGAGGAGAAGGAGCCAAATAAAAGAAATACAAAGGAAAACCCATGGGAATAAGGGATTCGTGCTGCAGTTTCCCATTGAGTCACTCTTAAAGGACCTTGCCAGCAGCTGTGCGTTAAGCCGCGGTGAATCCTAATCACTGGATCCCTGATCCCGGGCTAGGAGAAGCTCGGTGACCCAGATTCCATCCCTCCGATGAGAACATGCTGGCCTCCAGCAGCTCCCATGTATTCCATGGCATGGGCCTGAAGGAGCAAACCTTCCAGGCACTTCAGCCCCTCAAAGGCCTCGCTTTGCTGGAGCAATGAGGAGCACTTGATTTGTGTTATGTGGGGACATAACCGCTCCATGGTTCTATGCATCCAGGGGCAGAGGGGAACAATGACCCTGGTACCCCACCAGGGGTGGAGCTGGAGGTGTCCCTTTGCCCACATCCTGAAGGCAGCAAGAGCAGGCACCTATTTTTATCCCTTGAACTCGATCACAAACAACCCATATAACTGAGTCCCCGGTGTTTTAAGGCCAGCCTAGTTCTTATCTTATATATGTGGGTTGTGTCCAAGGGATGACTTAGAGGTGTTGCAGCAATTTAAGCAAGAACTGGCTTTTTGCTCCAATCATAAAGCTTACGGAAAGTGCTTTTAAATCAATGAAATAGGCTTGGGGAGGGTTGTGTTTGCCTGTACTGCTCAGCACCTGGAGTGATGGTTTTCTGCATCTCCATCCCTGCATCGCTGCTCTGAGTTCACTGGAGCTGCCACCAACCATGCATTTGGTGGGTACCCCATCCCTGGAGACATTCAAGCCAGGCTGGATGTGGTTCTGGGCAACCTGATCTGGATGAAGGCGTCCCTGCTCATCGCAGGGGGCTGGAACTGAATGAGCTTCAAGGTCCCTTCCACCCCAACCCATTCTGTGATTCCACGCAGCGCTGCAGCAATTAACAGCCACATCTCCCTGGGAGCTGATGAATCCAAATCAACCTCCCCATCAGCAACAGTGCAGGGGGAGCCCCTGGGCCTCATCCGGCTGCTGGGAGCCCTCCTGCCCGCTGCCCTTGGCTGTGGATGGTAAAGGTGCAGCGTGGTACCCGCAGCATGGCTTTGCTCGTGTTAAGCGGAGCCGGGAGCTCGATGCGGTAGGAGGTCAGTGCTGGAAGGGCCATCAAATATTTAGTGGCTCTGCCGGGCTGACCTACTTTATCCTGCACGTTCCAAGCATGCCAGCACCTCCAGGCTGCGGCACGGAGCCAGCACAGGGGAAGGAAAGGTGATGGGGTGACCTTGCAGGGTCCCTGCAACCCAATGGGGATGGGAGGCTGAGCACTGTCCCCTGCTATGGAGCTCTGCTGGGATGTCAGGACTGGATCATCCCTAAGGATTTCCATCTGTGTGGAAGGATCCCCTCAAGTGGGCTCACGGTTGGGCGATCGGCATCGTTAAACAAGAGGGTTGTGGATCCCAGAGGATTTGTGCTGCAGAGTACACACGCACACCTTGCTCAACACTGCTTCCACAGTTTGGGATGAAAGTACCAGATGCTTCATGCGTGGCCCAATGGGTGATCCACCTGGAGACCCGAGGGTTGGTTTGGAGCCTCTCGAGTCCCTTCCAGCCCTTTTGCCCGTGGTTTCAGATGGAATATCCACAGGGTAAAACCAATGCCTGGCTTGGCTGGGTGTCTCCTCCAGCCAAAAGCCCCATGCCGGGATGTGCTGGGGACCTCGCTCCCCTAACGAGGCTCCAGCCTTGAAAAGACCAAATTTGTCACTTATTTTCCCTCCTTTTACAGACAGGCCGGATCGAACCGAACTACCCCAAAGTCTGTGGCCACCAGGGCAACGTGCTGGACATCAAGTGGAATCCCTTCATTGAGAACATCATCGCGTCATGCTCCGAAGACACCTCGGTGAGCCTTTAACATACACAGCTTAGGCACTGCGGGTAGGGGATGGATCAACCACCTGTGGAGCAGAGAGGGGATAAGAGATTGCTGCAGAGCCACAGGCACAGTCATGGTGCGGGGGCAGCTCCTCTGCTTGTCCCCAGCATCACTTCTCATCCCAACGTTGCTCTTCCTGTGTCCCCCATGCAAATAAGCCATAGAGCTGTGCACAACGAGGGCTTTGCATTTTCCCCAAGCCCAACAGCAATGCTGGTATTGATCCTTCTTGCTCTCATGGACCGCAGGGGCTGTGACAGCTCTCATGGCCTGATCCATCAAGCGATGGGAGCAGAAGGCTGGGGAATGATGAATCAGATCATCTTTATATAGCTGTTAGTTATCTGCATCCTCTTTGTTTTCTGGACCCAAGTCCATCCCAAAGGCTGCATCACAAAGGAAAGAAAGCCTTTGTACAACGGAGATCAGAGACCACTGCCCATTCTGCATGGCAGAAGACAGGGCTTGGGGGGATCCAGCTCTTAACCAGTTACAAACCTGCCTCTCCTGATCCTTAGCGTTTCACTGCATTACCTCCTGATGTCTCATCCTCTCCTGCAGCTCCGTATATTGGCATTTATTATTAGCTGAAAGCTTGTCAAGGAGGATATTGAGTGGGGAAAAGAGATTCAGATCATGGCCATGAATCATGGTGAGCTGTCTCCCAGCTTGAGTCATAACCTTTAGATTCAGTCGCTGGGGAATAGGAAGTGCTGGGAGGGAGGGAGAATACTGGGAAGACTCCATGAGGATCATTAAACCTGGGAAATGAAGTTAACAGCCCCCCTGTCCAATGGTGGGGGGTGTCCCCTCAATGGGGCTCACGGCTCCTGGTGCGACCCCATGCCCATGGTGCTGCTAATGGGCAGGTTCTGCACCTTTGGGTTTCCCCTTCTCCCTTCCAGGAGGTGTAAGGAGTTTCAGGCCAACAGTATCAAGGGGAGGATGCTCAGGTCCCCAGGGAGTCTGAGCTGCAGCAAACAGAGCATTTGGATGCTCTCTGTCACTGTTGGTCCCAGGCTGGGGGCGAGCACAGTGATGCTGCCAACCCATCCTGCTCCAGACTCCTGCTTCCCTCCATACTGCCCTGCACGGAGAGGACAACCTGTGCAGCCTCATCCCTGGGGCATCACTATGGATTTACCCTCTCCAAGGGGGTGATGAGGATTTAATGCTCTCTATTAACGGCTGTGGTTAGATGCTGCCTCCCAGGAGGGGATCGCTCCCATGGGCCACCCGGGTCATGGCTCTGCTTGAAACCCTTCCTGTCGTTATTCCTGTTGTTATCCCCTCCCTGTGAATCTGTATCCACTCAGACTGGTCTGGATAAAGGCATCGGTCCTCTCCCGATGCTCTCCCATGGGATATTTGTCCTTGTGGAACAATTATCACCCTCCCTGTGCTCTCCCCCTGCGGGAGACCAGACCACAGGGGGAGCAGATCAAGCTCAGGACACCCATTAGGGTGCAGGATGACGCTGCTGGTATTGGGGCACTGCAGGGATGCAGCATCTTAGAGCTCCTCTGGGTGGGAGTCAGGGTCATGCTGGGGCTCCCAAACCCATCCTGGTGCCTGAGCCATCCCATCCCATCCCATCCCACCCTGTAGGTGCGGATCTGGGAGATCCCCGAGGGCGGCCTGAAGAGGAACATGACAGAGGCTGTCCTGGAGCTGTACGGGCACAGCCGGCGCGTTGGCCTCGTGGAGTGGCACCCAACCACCAACAACATCCTCTTCAGCGCTGGCTATGACTATAAGGTGAGTCCTGTCCAGCCCCATTCCTGCTGCCCGGGGCTGCCCTTGCAAAGGATTTCCCTGCTCGTGGCATGGGAGGCAGCAGGATCCTGCTCACTGGAATGAAATGACCCAGTGTCTGCAGCAGAAGGAGCCTTCTCGTACCCCATCATAAGAGCAAGGACTCCCTACAGGCCCTTGTCCCAAGCCCCTCTCCAGCTTTCCTGTAGCCCCTTTAGGCACTGGAGCTGCTCTAAGGTCTCTGGATCCCATCCCTTCCCTCCGGCCTGTCCAGCACCACACAGCTCAGTGCCATTGGCAAGCTCATTGAGGGCACAGCACAGCACAAGCAGCAGCTTCAGGGCAGCCCTGGATGGAGGGGAAGGGGCTCAGTGGGTGACGATGGAGTGATTCCAGCCACAACAGGAGGTATCAGGCTGCCCAAAGCAGACGTGGGGCTTGCAGGAGGGGTGGGGGGGTCTCCAGGAGCGGAGACACAAGGATAACGTCCCTGCTTCGCACAGGTCCTCATCTGGAACCTGGATGTGGGGGAGCCAGTGAAGATGATCGATTGCCACAAGGACGTCATCCTCTGCATGTCCTTCAACACGGACGGCAGCCTCCTGGCCACCACTTGCAAGGACAAGAAGCTGCGGGTGGTGGAGCCACGCTCCGGCAGGGTCCTGCAGGTGGGTGATGCGAGAGGCAGGGGAGGGATGGGGCATGGAAACGGGACCCAGGGGAGGAATCACACTGAAATGGGTTAAAATACCTGCGCTCGTGATGGGTTGGTTGGATGGGTCAGGGTTCGTGGGTAACACTGTTGTGGGGAGGGGACGGTCCCATCCCAAGCATAGAATCATAGACTAGTTAGGGTTGGAAAGGACCTTAAGATCATCCAGATCCAACCCCCCTGCCATGGGCAGGGACACCTCACACTAAACCATCTCACCCAAGGCCTCGTCCAGCCTGGCCTTGAACACTGCCAGGGATGGAGCATTCACAACCTTCCTGGGCAACCCATTCCAGTGCCTCACCACCCTCACAGGAAAGAATTTCCTCCTTAGATCCAATCTAAACTTCCCCTGTTTCAGTTTTAACCCGTTACCCCTTGTCCAGCATAGGAACTGGGAGCTTTTACTGATTTAAGGTTGGTGCAGAGTCGTAGAAATTAGGGGATGGTGGCACAGAAAGTGCCTGAAGGGGCCAACAGGAAACCTGGAGAGGGGCTTTGGACAAGGAACAGGCCAAGGGGAATGGCTTGAACCTGCCAGAGGGGAGACTGAGCTGAGCTCTTAGGCAGAAGCTCTTCCCTGTGAGGGTGCTGAGGCGCTGGCACAGGGTGCCCAGAGAAGCTGTGGCTGCCCCATCCCTGGCAGTGTTCAAGGCCAGGTTGGACACAGGGGCTTGGAGCAAGCTGCTCCAGTGGAAGGGGTCCCTGCCCGTGGCAGGGGTTGGAGCTGGAGGAGCTTTAAGTCCCCTTCCAACCCACCCCGTGCCTTGGTTCCATACCTAACACTGTTGCAGGAGGCGAGCTGCAAGAACCACCGCGTGAACCGGGTGGTGTTCCTGGGCAGCACCAAGCGGCTGCTCACCACCGGGGTGTCGCGCTGGAACACGCGGCAGATCGCGCTCTGGGACCAGGTGGGTGCCAGGACCCCCCCCTCCAACCCCAACCCCAGCCCCGGGTCATGGCTGCTCAATAAAGGGCTTTTACCTCTGCTGCAGGAAGACCTGACCATGCCCTTGATAGAGGAAGAGATTGACGGGCTCTCGGGGCTCCTCTTCCCATTCTATGATGCTGACACTCACATGCTGTACCTGGCTGGCAAGGTACGGGCTGTGCATCCCATCCCATCGCTGCGGCACCTCCTGGGGAGGCAAAAGGGCTTCTCTCCGGCGTGGTGGGAGAAGAACCCTCCACGGAGCAGGGCTGTGCTGAGCCCCCAGCAAAGCGTTATGCAGCTCTTTGGCCACTAAAGCCCGGTTTGGAGAGGTGCCCACCGCTGTTGAACGGGTGGTGATGCATCCCTCTGGGTGATGTAGGGCTGCAGCATCCCCAGCTTGTATTCCCCTATGGATGGGGGTTGTTGTCATGGGCTTTAGTCCATCTCACGTGTTCCAAACCATCCCTCTTCCCTGCTCCAGGGTGACGGGAACATCCGCTATTACGAGATCGGCTCGGAAAAGCCCTACCTGAGCTATCTCATGGAGTTTCGCTCCCCAGCCCCACAGAAAGGACTGGGTAAGGATGGAGCTGCTGGTCCTGAATGTGCTGACGAAAGGTGCTTTGTCCTCAATAAAAGCTGCTCATCCCTTTCCTAATGTCCCCGGGGTGACCAAGGTCTGTGCCCCGTGTCCTCAATGTGATGCTAGCAGGGATGGACTCATTGAAGACCTGGAGAGGACGGGTGTTCGGGGTGCTCGGTGCTGGGGAGGCGGATGGGTCCCAGCCGGGTGCAGCACCCCTGGTTATGCCTGTGCCTCCTCGCAGGGGTGATGCCCAAGTACGGGCTGGACGTGTCGGCCTGCGAGGTCTTCAGGTTCTACAAGCTCATCACGCTCAAGGGGCTGATCGAGCCCATCTCCATGATCGTGCCGAGGAGGGTGAGTCCTCTGGGGAGCAAGTTGGGTGGGATGGGGATGATCCCATTGTGCTGCTTCACTCACCGGGCTGCTGGCTGGCCCTGTGGTTCTGATGGGATTCCCAAGGGAGGTTACTCAAGGCTCAATAGGAATGATTTTAGGAATTCCCCATCCCTGGCAGTGCTCAAGGCCAGGTTGGACACAGGGGCTTGGAGCAAGCTGCTCCAGTGGAAGGGGTCCCTGCCCGTGGCAGGGGTTGGAGCTGGGTGAGCTTTGGGGCCCCTCCAACCCAAACCATTCCACGATTCTATGAAATTCCTCTCTGTGTTGCTCCTGGCCTTGCTGCCGTTGCTTTGTCCAAAATCAGCTTGCCGCGTTGGGATGGGTAACCAGGGGCTTGTCTCATGCGAGCTTCGGGGGGTGTTTCTGGTGAAGTATCTCAGAGCTGGAGCAGGGTTTGTTGTTTGCCATCCCGGATTTGCTGGCATTCCTCATCTAAATTAGTGAGGCAAACCCCAGTTCATGGCCTCCCGCTGCCCTGGGTGGAGAGGATTAAGCACAACCACGTGCAGCACATTAGGATGTGCAGCTCAAGCTGAGCAGTCACAAAGGAGGTGCTTTTCTATCCCCCTGTTTGCAGTCAGAGACGTACCAAGAGGACATCTACCCCATGACCCCGGGGACGGAGCCAGCCCTCACCCCGGATGAATGGCTCAGCGGGGTCAACCGAGGTAAAGCCATGGATGCTGTGCTGGGGGGTGACAAGGGATGCAGGATGGGACCGCGGCCGCCCCTGACCTCCTTCCCCCCCCCTCTGCTCCACACAGATCCCATCCTGATATCGCTGAAGGAGGGCTACAAGAAGACATCCAGCATCATCTTTAAGGCCCCGGTGAAGGCGAAGAGGAGCGTCCTTGTGAACGGCATAGACCTCCTGGAGAACGTGCCGCCGCGGACGGAGAATGAGGTAAGGCAGCGTGGGATGGGGATGGGGACAGCCGGGGATGGTCCCTGATGGGATGGGGATGGGCTTCCTGGACAGCCACCGCTCTGCAGGTCCCAAACAGCACCTGGCCACTGTGTTGCCTTGTGGCTTGAAGCCTCCAGCTTCACGTTCACCACAGAGCACCCAAAGGAGCGGTGTTCAGCTCCCAGATGAGTTCTTTTTTACTTAAAACCCTCTGGGAACAACGTATGGAGGCGCTGCGGAGGCATGAAGTCCCGAAAGGAATCTGTATTGCTGGAGCTGAGTTGGCACACTGCATGTGTGGGGTATCCCGATGCTAGAGGGTGATGTATTGAAGCAGATCAAGTTGTGTTGCAGAAGGAGCTGGGTTGTGAAGGAGCTCCGGGGGGGCTGTCAGGAGGGTGAAGCCCCAGAGCCGGTCCCTCCAGCTCCATCCATTCCCTTCCAGCTCCTCCGGATGTTCTTCCGGCAGCAGGACGAGATCCGGCGGCTGAAGGAAGAGCTCTCACAGAAGGACATCCAGGTCCGGCAGCTCCACCTGACCCTCAAGAACCTGCGGAACAACCCCAAGAACAATTAACTTGCAGGGCTGTTTTCTAAACGAACTGCCTCTGTTTATACTCGCTCTTTACTCTCCCTGTATCCACTCACACACCACACGAGCCACAACCAAGTGACCTGCCAAGAGCCCGCAAAGCTAACTGGAAATAACGTCCTCCTCGTCCCGTCTAGCACTAAAACTGCTTTAACCGAGAGCTACTGCATGAGAGGCGGCCGGGGGGGGTCCCCGCCAGCCCCCGGGCCATGAGCTTGGAGTAAGTAGTGGAGCCGCATCCCCTCCGTCGGGATGAGGCGGCACGGGGAGGGCGCGAAGCTTCGTTGCTGTGCGTGTGTTTCCTATGCAAAGACGCGAGGGCGGGCGCAGAACTGGAACAGGGGTGGGAAGGGCTTGGGTCACAAACACAGGGTGGGATGTGGGGACCCTTCCCATGGCAGCGGCGGTGGAACAGCTCCAGCACGGCCGGGTTTGGGCAGGAGCAGCCGGTGAGGGTCACAGCCTGCGGAACGGAGTCGCTCCGCACGTGTGCGTGCATCCATGCACTGGGTCCTTAACCCCCCCCCCCCCGAGAGGCTGGGTTCCCAAACAGAGAGGGGTTTTGCTCCCTCTGACTCTGCAAAGAGGGACTCATCGTCCTCCCGTCCGCTGCCAGTGCCATGGGGAGGGGGACAGATGTCACCCAGCTCACCCCAGGGGTGAGGGTACCCAAGGGATGGATGCAGTGGTGCGGAGCTGTGCGCGGTGGGGTTCAGCACGCCTGTACAATCAGTGTTTTGTGGATGAGCACAGGAATGACACCAAATACTGCTGGTTTACCTATATATATATATATATATATTCACTAAACCCAGTTGCTGAACTGCCCAGCACCACCAGTGTGATGGATTCTCCTCCCCGTTAACTCACCCTGTGCCCGCACCCGCTGCTCCCCCCTCTTTACATGTGCTGTCATTGCCTATTATTTATGCTACCACGGAATAGTGATGAAATAAAATGTTTTCAAGATACCAAACCCTTGCCTGCTCCTTCGTTGCCTTGCCAAGGGCTGGCCCCCACCCGAGAGAGGGTGGTGGCACCTAAAAGGGCATTTTTGGGTGCGCATAGAGGTGGATTCTGCCTCTGCTGCAGCAACTCCCCTGGGCTCCCAGGTCCCCGCAGCATGGATTGATGGTGGCTGGATGCTTGGGTGATGCTGTGGGCTGCACAGGAGTTAGGGGTGAGGCACAAGGAGCACAAGCACTGCCAGGGACGGGGCAGCCACAGCTTCTCTGGGCACCCTGTGCCAGCGCCTCAGCACCCTCACAGCGAAGAGCTTCTGCCTAAGAGCTCAGCTCAGTCTCCCCTCTGGCAGGTTAAAGCCGTTCCCCTTGGCCTGTCCCTGCAGGCCCTACTTAAGAAGTCTGTCCTCATCTTTCTTATAACCCCCCTATGCATAGACTGGCCCCAAATTTGAGGTGGTTCTGCTGCCAGAGCAAGCAAGAAGGCAGCACGAGGGCTGCTCAGACAGAAATAGAGCTTTAAGCTTTATTTCCTCTTTTATTCAGGCACTGAGGACTGTGTTATCACTTGGTGTTGGGTCTGGAGTTTCCTGGTTTTATCCCATCTCATCATGGGAGGAGAAACCACAGCAGAACCACATCTCAGCTGCTTTGTGCAGAGCAGCAGCGGCTCAGCTGAGGTTATCGATGTCTTACGGCCTCAGCCACAGAGGTGCGTTGGGACCTCCTGCACTACATTCTCTCTTGTAAAGGCAGAGCCAAGGTTTCTCCAAAGCCCCTTGAATCAATGCACAATGAGCCCAATGACACCTGGGTGATTCAGAGCCAGTTCCAGCCCTGCAAACAGCAGCACAAACCTGGTGGTGCTGTGGGCGAGGGGATGTCCTGGGCTGGGGATGTAGGATGCTGTCCCCTGGGCTCTGAGTGGGCTGAGGCGGGCAGGGAACAGCAGCCAAACGTGCTCATGGGGCTGCCGAACCCTTTGGGATTCATCCCAAATCAGTGGTGCTCTTCCCAGGGAAAACCCTGGCCCAGGTTCCTGCTGCTCCTCTTGGACCATTCCGCTTGCTCCTGGCTTTCCCAGCGTTTCCTCCTGCATCATCCCCATGCTATTTAAAGCAGAAAAGCCCATTACTGGGGCAATAAATACATCAGATTTTAGCCCTGAACTCCCTGCACTGCTGCAACCTGATGACTTGAGCACAGCACCGGGCCCCATCAGCTGGGTGCAATCCTGCATCGCTGCAGGGACCTGCTGCATCACCCCTGATCCTGGAGCTTTTGGGCTGCTTGGGAACCCTGAGACCTGCTCCAAGCCCTGCCCCATGTCCCTGCCCTATGTCCCTGCCCTTCTGATGAACCTGAGGTTCTGATGTACTTTAGATGCTTCTGGGTACTTTTCAAGGGTCTAAATAAGACCAAGAGGTCTGTAACCTCCTGCTTTTCCCCTCCCATCCTTCCCGCAGACATTCTAGTTCCTTTCAAGCCTCCCCCTTTCCCCTTCCTCCTGCAGAGCCCCCCCATGCTTCCCAGGACCAGCTCCCTCCAGGAGCTTTACCCAGCCTCAGTAATCCACACACATCCAGTTCACCTGCAGCATTTCCCAAGCTGTCCCCATCCAAACCCAGGCTGAGGTCTCACCCTTCCTGTCCTGCCTTTAACTGCAACCACCTCCCATCCCAGCGGGCATCTTCAGGGATAAGGAAAGGAAAAAGGCTCCCAGATCCCAGCTGTCCGCAGCCAACAGCCCCTTCCTCCTTCCAGCCACGGGGTGATTTATCCCCTGCTCTGCTTCTCCCCTCCATGTTCCTGCTGTCCCTCTGTGCTCATCCTTATCAACCTGACCTACTTTCTGCTTCCTGGAGGGCTCCACTTTGTTCGCGGCTCGGCCTCCTCGTACGCTTCTGAGCTGTGGCATCAGTGTTAATTCTCTGCTTTCCAACGTCTTGAACAGATGAAAACACCCCTGAACCTGCAGATGAAGACACAAAATCAGGGCTAAAATGGGCCAAATGCAGAGGAGAAGCCCCTACGGGGGTTGTTTTAATGAAAATGGGAGTTTTCCCATCAGTTTGCTGAGGACGATGCTGGTTCCTCCTTTTTCTGACACACTTAAAACCAAGGGGAGCTTTGCTCTCACAGAACTTGGTTCCAGGCACGCACCCAGGGACCCTCCATGCAAAAAGTATGAAGCATTCTCATGAATTTAGTGCACCTTTAGGAATTCTGCTGCTTTTGGACCTAAATCCCCAAGATCTGGGGATCCCCAGAGACCCGAGGTCTCCAGAATCAACTTTCCCATCCCCTCCCGGAGCCTTTTAAACACAAGAAGGGGAATTTGGTGCAGAAATGGAGCTCCAAAAGGATTTGTGTCTTGGTGAGCGCTGGGTACATGCCACGTGCCCCATCACCCTGCCTGCCTGATGACAGTGCTTGGACATACCTTCGGACAGATGTGGCGCTCCAGATGTTCCACAGCATCCGTCAGGGTTCAGGAGGGAACCACGGTGGCACAGGTCCTTGGTGGTTCCTGAACAGCACTGGGAAACCACACTGATACTAAGCACTTCCAGCAAAGCTGTGGTGCTGGAGCAGGGAGCGCTGGTGCTCCTCATGGAAGGTTGTGCAGGGTGAAGCGCTCGCCCGGTGCTGCCTCTGCTGCCAGCTCCTTTCTCCGCACACGTTTGGCAAGTGCCAAGTGCAATGGCAAAAGAAAACCTCCACAGAGAGAGCTCAAGTCTTGCCAAAAACTTCTTCACCGGGTTTTTATCGGCTCTGGGCAGAAGGAGCAGAATCAGCAGTGACAGCGAGCAGCTGACAGCAGAGAAGTCACACGGTGACGTTCTTGGAACCGAGTGAGAATCACAGAATCCCAAATTGGTTTGGGTTAGAAGGGACCTCAAAGCCCACCCAGCTCCAACCCCTGCCATGGCAGGGACCCCTTCCACTGGAGCAGCTTGCTCCAACCCCTGTGTCCAACCTGGCCTTGAGCACTGCCAGGGATGGGGCAGCCACAGCTTCTCTGGGCACCCTGTGCCAGCGCCTCAGCACCCTCACAGCAAAGAGCTTCTGCCTAAGAGCTCAGCTCAGTCTCCCCTCGGGCAGGTTAAAGCCATTCCCCTTGGCCTGTCCCTACAGACCCTTGTCCCAAGCCCCTCTCCAGGTTTCCTGTAGGCACTGGAGCTGCTCGGAGGGATCCGAATCCTCCCTCTGTGGTTCGTGCAGTGAATCAGGGCACGGCTGCTGCCTGCGAGGAGGATGAGGGCTGCTGCGAGCGAAGCTGTGGGCTGTGCAGGGCCATTGCTTCTCTTGCAGGAAGCGCTGTCATTGCAGCAGGGAGGAGGAGAGCTTTCGAGATGGAGGTGGGAGGAATTATTTGCATGAGCAGGAGAGAGCAGCAAGCTGGGACACGGAGGGAGAGCAGCGCTGCCTGCCCTGGCCTCTCTGGGCACAGGGAAAGCATCACGGGGCCTTGTCTCAGGTGTATCAGCACACTGACTTCAGTAACAAAGGCCGATGTGACCCCCAGGAAGCTGAGCATCAGGATGAGCTCCACGCAGCTGGATCACTAACCAGGTCTCGTTTTTAAGGACCCTGCAGGGCATTTCTTCCCGTAATGTGGACTGGAAATCCTCAATCACCTCGTTCCTAGGGTGAAGTCTGTAACCACGAGAGATGTCTGCATGTCAGCACGGCATGATTCACTCTTACTGAAACATCAGGTACCTGTAAAGAGAACTGGCAGAGGTTCTTGGTTGAAACAGGAATTGCTCTGCAGAAGACCAGGGCAGTGATTTAACATCCACCAAAGCATGGCAGGGCAGGGCGAGACCCTCCTCTGTCACTAAGCAATCCACTTCAGGTATGGATGGTGGGTTGTTACAACCAGCTGGCACCCCCTTGGGCAAAAGGATGAAGGAACAGCTTTTCCCATCACAAATTCCTGAGTTTTAAGGATATACCATTTAAACTAGTGGTGGGGACCTGCTGCAGAGCCCAGCCTTGGCTTACCAGAGCCAGGAGCCATCTCTTCCTGCATAACTGGATAATGCTGACAATGATTTGGGCTTAGGAAGCGCTCCTGACCTTCAGCAGCACCCCAGCTCTTGCTCTAAGCACCAAAACCAGCTCAGGTACAAGAAAGCATCATCAAATCAACCAAGGAGAAGCCATCCCTGAGGTGCCAAAATGCAAACACCCAGGCCATTATGCTGTTAAGACTATATAGATTTGCAGTGCCCATACATTCAGCTTGGCACATAACAGCTGGGACTGAGAGCATCTTGGTCTCAGCTTGCACACATCGACAGGGAAAGACTCAGCAGGACATTTGAGGCACACTGAGCTTTAGGACAGGTTCAGGACAGCAAGACAAACCAAAGCACCCCAGGAACAAGCTTGTGCCAGCCCCACACTGCAGCACGACCAGGGCTCCTCAAATGACTGCGCAGTTAAAAGGCCAACGGAGAGCAGAAAGAGCAAAGTGACACAAAACCTGGCACCTGAAGGAGCTGCTCTCCCCCATTATTCATTCCTGACACTATTCCTACCTGGGTTTTCCGCTGAACTGTTATAAAACACCGGGGCTTGGGTTTTTTCCAGGAGTTGGGAAGTTGCTAAGCATCGCTGCGAGTTGCCAAGTACCTTCAGCCAGAGCTTACGTATGCAACAGAGCGCTCAGGATAACAAGCCCTTGGTTCTCCGCAGAAGACTGTACTTACATGCTACAAAACATGGGATAACTATGAAATGATCCACACTGGGCAAGCCTCCTGTTTGTTTTCAGTAGCAGAAGTGACTCAGTTTCCCCCTCTCCCAACCCAAGGAGTCAAAGCCTTGCTGTTCATCAGGTACCTGCCATGCCTCTTCCCCCTCTCTCATCATTCAGGTGGATTCGGGCTCCAGCAGAGCTGAACAGGGAGCAGGACTCTGCTTCACAAGCAGCAAATACCATGCATGGATACGTCTCTGGGATGTGGAGAGGCTCATCGTGCAGGAAAAGCCAGCTCCAGTC